TGGTAGGAAGTTTGGGAGGATTTGCAGGAAGCTGCTGTTCCCGCAGGGCAGCTGGGGGTGGTGTTTTATCCTTCCCTCATGTCCTCCGGGCCTCCGCTCGGCCCGGCCGGGGAAGGGAAGCGCTGCAAGGTCATCTTTGCCAGCGGAGTTGGGACAGGCCAGAGCCTTGCGTGGCCCACTGCGAGTACGGACCCCACCGCAGCGAGTTTTAGCCTTGCACAGGATAAGACGTGTGGTATTAAAGGTACTGTTCTTCTCCAAGGCGTGCCTGGAGTAGATTTTTATCAAGCCAACTGTGGGCAGAATTCAGCCGCTTCCGCTTCCAGGTGCCCAGTTTTGTCTGTAATGCAGGAGGCACAGAAGATGCAGAGGCTTTGTAAAATATCTTGCATGGTTTGAGAAGCGCTCCACTGGCAGCCGTGCACTTCAGTGCCTGCACAAAACCTTCGAAAGCAGCTGTCCCATGCAGAGCAGAACTTGCACAGCACCGTTTCTTGTGAGGTTTTACTGAAGAGGCTTTTCTGATAGTCGGTGGGAAAGGATGAACTGGTGTTGCAGTGGATTCTGGACACAGGATCATTTTTTCACCTCTAGCTGCCAGTGCCACAGACAGTACTGTGCCAGGCAGTAGTTTTGGGATCTATCCTGCTTTGTCAGGTTTTTGGAACTTTGTGAGTGGGATTAGGATGGGGGGAAAGCTAGCAGGTGTGTGCATATAGGGACAATACAATCACGTACACCTTTTTTTCACATAAAACCAGACTAAATTACAGCAGGCACATCTCTGAAAGGTGAGTTTTAAAATAAAATTCAGTAAACTTTTGTGGGTGTGTGTTTCTGCTTTCTGAGCTTTCAGAATACCCAGTTTCAAAGTACCTTCTCCTATCGTCTTTTTTTTTTTTCTTAAGACGAAGCTAGAATTTGCACCTACTCCCATTGTCAGGAGTTGGGATTTTCATGCAGTAACATCCAGCATGCAGCAAAATAGCAGGGCTCTGTGAAAGCTAAAAAAAATAATGTGGGGAAACGAGAATAGTTATTTGAGGACAGACCAGCACAGATGGGGATTACAGGGGAAGGGGAACTTGTTACATTTAAATGTTGTTAGGTGTGGAGAGTGTGTGTGTGGTTACTTTCTCTATGCATTTGGCTTGATATGCTGGTCAACAGAGGTCCCAGAAGACTGCATTGTAGTAAGTCCCACGGCCAGGTGGTTGCGTGCTTCCTCCAGGAGCATTTTCAGGACTTGCCCAGGGAAGGAATGTGATCACTTGCCCATTTGTGAGTCTGCTGAAAAGCAGCATCGTTTGCCATCTGAAATTCAGTTAAACAGCTGCCCTTCCCACATAGGACTGAGCCAGGCCTATCAGCCTCTCTACACTGACTGCAAGGATGAGAGGTTGTGTGCCCCTTTTAGAGAGGATGCCCAAGTCCAGGATGATTAAGGGGGGACTAGATGCTTGGGGCTGTGCATGAGAGTGCTGTTTTGTGCAGGCTGGTTTCTGGATATCTGTCTCAAATGTGGCTCTGATGCCTACAGATAGCTGTGGGTAGACATCAAGCTAACCACTGAGCTTAAGGAGTGGTCTTTATTGATTCTGTACCCTTTTTCAGCAGCAGTCACCATGAAGAGGAGTAAGAATGGAGTGGGAAAACCCTGCAGAAAAGGCTGAAGTCTTTACACAGACTGACCTTCCTGATGCCTAGCTCTAACTGCTCTCTCTGGCAACCCTGACAGAGCAGCATGATCAGGATGAGGAGGAAGAAACTGTGGGCATCTTGCTTCTGCTTTGCAGCTGCCTTTTTCCTTGTGGTGACACTCCAGGTACAGGGGCAAGGGTGAAGTTGTGTGTAAGATTGCTCTCAAAGTATGACACAGTTCTGGCTAATGAGGGTGTTGAAGACAACAGGCGTTTCCCGTACAAGTCTGTGGTTTAAGAGGAGTGTTTAAAGAAACTCTGTCAGCAGCATTTGCCTGGTAGTAATAGCTGACTCCAGAAGTGACGTTACACAGGGAACATCTTTCTTGCACAGCTGCTTGGCTCAAGAAGGAGTTTCTCAGGAGTGATGTACCATACCATGCCATGCTGCATTGTCTCCATCAAGCATTGCCTCCTTTGTTAATGTGTTGGAAGTCATTAGGCAGAGAGGCAAGGCTGGACCTATTTCATACAAATGTGGCAGATGGACCAGGAAGATCTGGGAACATAAGTAAGTGGTGATGGAAATCTGTCTAGCAGTCCTGACTCTAAGGCCATTCTTAGCATTGGGAAGTCCAGAAGCTGGTCAGTAAAAAAATGCATGAGAGAAAAATCAATTTGGAGACATACTAATTTGTGGATGCTGCAGATTTTCATTAGAAGAGAACAACTTCTGGACAAATTGAATCAGCCTTGGCTGGCAGTCTTGTCATGAGTGGGCCAGGATCTGCCCCAGAGATGCCTTGTTGCTTGGGCTCTACTCTGAACTGAGGCTCTGGTTCAGATCAGTACCTCAGGTAACTCCCAGTGGATCCAGCAGGAAGATGTCTGAGGCTCTCCCAGGCCAGCTGCCTGCTCCAAACTGGAGACATTTCCTGGAGGCAGTCACTGACACTCTATGGTCACTTTCAGTTCTGTTACCCTGAACAAGGCATCCAAAGGTGGTAATACGGCTGCCCTAGCATCGGAGCAAAGCTATCAAGTTTTCAGGACCTTTATTGGTAGGGTTTGTGACGCCACTGCACATCCACAGCTAAGACAGTCTGGAGCTGGTTAGAGCTTCCTGGCTGGGATTTTCATCTGGGAGTATTCACTGGATGGTGACTGGGACTACTGTAGCCCACGAGCTGTCAATATAGTTGGGGTGTGTCAACCCCCAGGAAGTTCAGAGAGAGCTATTAGAAATTCTGCACAAATGCAGCGACTTCTTAAATTCTTCTTAAATTGTCCGGGCAAAAACTGGAAGCAAAGAAGGAGAATGTTCCTGGAGAAACCTGGGCATGAGATAGTTGTAGACTTAATTCAATTATATTGCTGCAGTTACATCTTGTCAAACTATTAGACATAGGAGTCTTTTTCCCAGTTAGTGTCTTGTCCACTTGCCAATGCATGAGTGTTTTCTGTATTTTTCTGTACAGCTGCACTTTGCAGAGCCTCTTGTGTGTGCTGTCCCAGTATCCTGTGTTGCACAGAGCCTATTTAGTCTGGCTACAATCAGTGTATTTTGCTAAACAGTGGGAGCAAATGACACAGCAAACAGCAAAGTGAATGCCTGCAGTAAAGATATGAGGGAAATGTTTTCAAACAACCTAATATAAACTACACTCTCCTGCTTTCCAATATCCTCTTTCTGAGCTTTTTCTCGTGAGAAAGCAGAAGTTGTGTTGTTAAATCATAACATGACGTAGCTGTATCTCAGTACAGGAACGTATTTCCTGCCTCCTCCTTACACATTCCAATTAAAGCTTTTGCTGTTCTCATATCACCTGGATGGTGGCTGCTATCAGTGAAATCATCCAATTTGATTGACAGAAACTTAACATACAGACTTAGTGCCTGATGCTTAAACTTCTTCCAAGCAGGTGTCCTGGCTAATGACAGTGATGTGCTGTGACATGTATGTTTATTTCCCTGAAGGTTATCACTGAACTGGGCAATTCAGAGAATAAGGTGGCAGTAATCTCCAATTTACACAGTGGCCCATTAAAGCCTGTGGAGAGACATACTTTTCAGTTTAAGAAGCAGGAACTTCACAGCAGCTTCAAGACAGAGTCTGATGTAAATCACTATCCCGTCCTGCTCTGGTGGTCTCCCCTGACTGGAGAGACAGGGAGATTGGGCCAGTGCGGAGAGAATGTTTGCTTCTTTACTATCAACAAGACCTACCAGCACAATCAGATGACGAGAGCATTTCTGTTCTATGGTAAGGATCTCTTTCGTTTTAAAGGAGTAACTTTCCCTCCTGCCCAGTTATTTTCCTTTAGAGGTTAAATATTCTAGGTGGCAATCACTGAGAGCAGGAAACTTGTGCAGCTCATTGTGCTAAACTTTGCCTGTTGCTGAATACAACCAGCAGAGATTGAGAGATGTATGTTCTGTGTAAAAGTACTCTGAAAAGTCATGGTGCATGTCTGTGGAGTGACTGTTGCCTTGTCTCATGCCGCTTTCCAATCACGTGTTCCCTGTTTATGGGAGAAAAGGTAATTTCCTGTAGTTTGCCAAGTCATGAAAAGACAGTCTGAGATGAAGCCAGCTTTTTCCAGTCTTCTGACTTGTCGCCCCTAGCAGAGGTTCTGCAAGTCCTTGTTGCACTTGTGCAAGTCTTTTGTCTTAAAATAATGCCCTCACTGGTTACTGTGCAACTCTCCTGCCTCGTATGCTGAGAGATTGGTAGGAGACTGTAAATGGAAAGTAGTGAAAGAAACCTATTGATTCTGCAAAGGGAGCAGCAATTAGTGCAACCTTCTGAGCTGGTCTGGCTGTGCTGCCTTGGAAACTTCCCACTACATGTAATTTAAAGCAACTACAGAAAACAGAAAAGATGAGTTTTTTGAAAGTAGGCCATACTTTGTTAATTTTGGGCTTTTCAGGGAAAAAGTGAAATTGAAGTGGAAAAATAAAGCCAAATGCTTTTCTGTGGTAGTTTCAGCTCCTTTTTCTGGAAACAAAACAAAATAAAAGAGCATCCTGAATCTCGTTCACTCAGTCAGGATACAGGTGAGCTGGAAGCCGAGGAAAGAAGGTACTTCAGCTTGTTTGTTAACAGTGAACCAAAAACTTCTCATCACTAATCTTTTCAGAGCTCCAAGTAGGTCAGCTTTGTCAGTTCATAATACAGTGGTTGAGCATGAAAGCAAAGGAATGAGAAGCTGACCCAGTTAAAGACAAGGAAAGCTGGATGTGCATCACATGAAAACGGTAAAGTCTGGTCGTTTTAGTCTCTGGTAGTAATTTTGTTTGTTTCAGCATTAGAAGGACTGTTACTGTCCATTTTTAGCAGGCTTGTGGACATGGTTTACTTACTTATTTTTAAAGGACTCTTTATACTGTGCAGAAGACTCCCAGTAGATTGGGGTGGTGAGGCACTGGAACAGGTTGCCCAGAGAAGCTGTGGATGCCCCATCCCTGCAAGTGTTCAAGGCCAGGCTGGGGGAGGCTTTAAGCAACCTGGTCTAGTGAAAGGTGTCCCTGCCGGGGGGTCGGAACTAGATGATATTTAAGGTCCCATCCAACCCAAACCATTCTATGATTCTATGATTGAATCTTTTTCTAGTGATGCTGGCTTTGAACTGTGTATAGACAAGTGTCAAAATACGCAAAAATCTTACTTATTTTTAAACTGGAATAAATGATGTCACAATGCTAAAACCTGCAGAGACAAAGGTAAGGTGAAAAAAATGCTGCTTCAGTACAGAAAAGTTTCACACACACACACTGACCTTGATGCACTGAACTGTGGGCCTGCAAAAAGGCAGATTTCAGTGTTACAGCATTTTCCTCTAAACAGCCTGTTGAGAGAAAACTTGGAACATCTGCATTTCCATGCTAAGGCTGGATCAGGGCACAGTTTCACCTTCGAAAAAAAGTGCATTAAGTTTCCCCTAATACTTGGTTAGTGAGCTAGTCAAGATAGGAATGATCAAAAGCTTAGGAAAAATGTTATGCAAAAATATGGGTACAGATGTTTTCCAGCAGAACTGCTTTGCTAGGAAAATCTTTTCTGCAGCTTGTCCTGGCCTGGGAAGCCCCTAGGTGTAGGTGGTGACTTTGTCAAGTGCCACCACCTCCTGTTTGGAACTGAGATGTGAAATCCACTGACTGGATTGTACCTGCTTTTGGGAGGTTTTCCCGACTCCACCCTTTCAGTGTCACACACTTCAGAGTTTTGCATGTAGCATGGGCTACCAATGCAACTGAGTCAGCATGAGCTGGATGTGGTGTGGTGCTGTCAGGGCCTCAGGGTTGTTGTTCCCAAGGGAGGAGGATGTTTTTCTGTGCTGGACCGTGGAGTCCTTGGATTATGAATCCTGAAGGAAAGAAGTCTCCTAAGATGCAGAACTTCTGACAGCATCTGTTTTTCTATTCTGTACTTTGCCTCATATCTAAAATTTCCTAATTAATAGTTGGGAAGTTGAGATTGCTTGTAATTTTAGTCTTGTGCTTTCTTTATCCTGTCATAAGCTTCTTTATTTCCTTCATCTCACAGCGTAGGGAACATGCTGACGTTATCTTCCCTTTAATCCTTAAAAGGTTTGTGTTGTCTTGCTGTACTGAGATTGATTGTTACATTAGAATCAGTCATTCTGCTGTGCTCTAATCTGTAGTGCATTTTTATCTAAGTTTTTCTTTGTCTAATTTTCTCCTTGTTTAGTAAGTTTTACATGTTGCATTTTTGTCTCTTTCTCATACCTTTCCTTGTCTCATTCTTTCGTGTGTTTTCCTTCCCTCTTCTCTGCAGTACCATGTTAAAGAGGGACCACCCTAGTGAGAGTCAGAGCTGAAGTGCTATGGTTTCAGTCCATGGCATGTTATTATTGTCTGTATGCACTGCTGCTTCTGTTCTGGGCATCACTTAGAACAAAATGTTTTCAAAACCAGGTAGGCCTTATAAGTTTCCCTTCCAGTTTTCCTCATCTTCTTGTGTCACTATAGCACATCAGAAACAGAGGCAGCAAATAGTATTTTTCACTGAGAGGCACAGCCCTTCATCCTTTTAGTGTTGAGGGTTTGGGACCACCTTTAAGTGGAAAACAGAAGGTCAAGTACTTAGTGGCCTTAAAACCCCACCTGATGCTTCTCAAGGAACTTGCTGTGTAGGAGGTTTTTGTGTTGCTCACAGCTAGTCTTTCCTTGTCTTTAACTGGGTCAGCTTCTCATTCCTTTGCTTTCATGCTATCCATCTCCACTGCAGTAGTGAAGCCTTATGTTGGTTTTATAAGGTCATCCTTGGAGTCCTCTTGGCTCGTGCAGCCACAAAGACCACTGGGCATTTTTTTTTTTTCCTTCTTTATATGTTAAATATATATATCAGAATTCTCTGTCAGACTATTGCTAGCTTCCTCTTCTCCCCATCAGTGGTTGGAGATTAAGGGTAGAACAGGGAGTGAAAAGGTAGAAGTTTGGCTGGGATGGTAGAATAGGTTTTCCAAAGAAAGGGGCTTTGTGGTGTTTTCTAGACCAGCTGTTCACTGTTTGTTTCAGTTTATGAAGCTCCCTTGCTTGACAATACCAGTTGAAAGTTTTGTATATTCGGTGCTTGTACTTATCTAAAAACCAGATACAGTTCTAAGGCAGTGAGGAAATGTCTTGACAGCGATTCATCAGCTTTGCATTTAATCTGCAGTAAGGCTAGTGGTATGAGTGTAGTATAGCCGTATTGACATGAGAACTAGAGTCAGATTCAAATACTTGTATTTTGAATTCAGTTTTGAACAGACCAGCCTTTTAGAAAAGGGTTCTAGGTTTGTCCTAAAGCTTCCACCACTGATTTCCTAAGTTATTTTGGAGCCTGCAGGTCCTTGCAGGGAGGTGCAAGCAGCTGCAGTGGTCTGTTTTTAGAGTTTAACTATGGTTGTTCTTCTGCTATAAGCATTAGTTTGAGGAGCCATCTTCTGGCAGAAGCTACTTCCTTATGTATCTGGTAGGCAGCTGTGATACATCACCTCTCAACTCTCTTTGATAAATTAAATAGATTGGCTTCCAGAGTCTCTATAGCAAAATGTCTTTCCAAGACTTGAAGTCATTCTTGTAATTTTTCTCCTTAACCCTGCCCATCCTTTTTTCCTGTTTTGCTACTAGCACCAAATTGAGCCCTGCTGTAACCATTTCCCTCACATCATGGATAGAGGCTATACCATCTGTTCCCCTATTTACAGAACCAGGGGATTATTAAGCCTCATTTCAGTGCATTAAAATATCAAATGCCTAGTGAGCCTCTGAAATGTTAGGTCTTTAAACTAATATGGCCTGAAAGGAAACCGTTTCTGGTATTAACTACTGATCCTCATTCTCTAGATTCTTGTTCTGCCAAATTCAGTTTTATCTGTCATAATACTCCTCTGCCTTTGCATGAATTGCTCTCTCTGCAATACTGCCTTATGATGTCATAAATGCGGTGATTGCACGTCTGACATTTAATTTAAAACTAGACTTCTGTGTCATTGCAGTTAGTCTGGCATGATAGATAGGGGCAGACTAAATATTTTTTGCTTTCGTCTAGGCACTGACTTCAGCACCGGCAGCCTACCCCTCCCTCGTAAAGCCTATCATGATTGGGCCCTTTTCCATGAAGAGTCACCAAAAAACAACTACAAACTCTTCCACGAACCGACCATCACCTTATTCAACCACACAGCAACCTTTAGCCGCCATTCTCACCTGCCGCTGACCACTCAGTACCTTGAGGATGTAGAGGTCCTGAAGTCGCTGAGGTACATGATCCCACTGCAGATGAAGAACAGCCTGAGGAAGAGGCTTGCACCACTTGTCTATGTACAGTCTGACTGCAACCCTCCGTCTGATCGGGACAGCTATGTCCGTGAGCTGATGTGCTACATTGAAGTAGACTCTTATGGGGAGTGTCTGCATAACAGAGACCTTCCTCAGCATCTCAGAAGTCCAACTGCCATGGATGACGGGAACTTCTATAAAATACTGGCACAGTACAAGTTCATTCTTGCTTTTGAAAATGCCGTTTTTGAAGATTACATCACTGAAAAACTCTGGCGGCCACTGAAGTTGGGTGTGGTACCAGTGTACTTTGGGTCTCCCAGCATTGCAGACTGGCTTCCAAGTAACAAGAGTGCAATCCTGGTATCCAGTTTTTCACACCCTCGGGAGCTGGCCCACTATATCAAAACACTGGATACAAATGATCGAGAGTATGAATCCTACCTACAGTGGAAGCTGAAAGGGGACATTTCCAACCCAAGGCTGCTTGCAGTGTTGAAGGAACGCAAGTGGGGAGTGCGAGATATCACCCAGGACAATTACATTGACACCTTTGAGTGCATGGTGTGTAACAGGGTATGGGAAAACATCAGAAGGAAAGAAAAGGTATGTGTGACACTGTCCTTGTGTCTCACAGAGGCTTAAAATGGCACTGGGCTCAGATTTGTGCCAGGAAGCTTGGTTACCAGTTTTCTGGCCAGCCAAGAACCACTGGTATTGCACTGCTATCGGGGAGTAGTACATCCTTTTGTCAAAGGGTATTGGCAGAAGGTGTGGGTGCATGGCCAGAGGGTGTGTTCCTCATACTGCTGCTGTGCTTGAGTTTGTACACACTGACCGTTGAGCTGGTGAACATATCAGCAGAAGGCTTAGCTTGTTCAGGAAGGAAGTTTTTATCAGGCTACTAGCCTAACTTTCTGACTTGCTTTAGATGCTGAAACATTTGGAAACAGGTTGCCCAGAGAGGTTGTGGGATCTCTGACCTTGGAGGTGTTTTAAGACTCAGCTCAATGCTTCCCTAGGCAATTAGATATGATTACACCTGTTTGGAAGAGGAATCTGGACTAGATGATCACTGGAGGTCCCTCCTGGTTTAAATAATCTGTGACTGTCTGGATCTGCATATGTGTGGGGGCATTCAGACTTGTAGTGACGACATGCCGTTGTCCGTGGCTACATTTGGTGACTACACATTGAAACACCTGTGTTTAAGCCAGGTTGTGTGTTTTTGAGAGAAATTGGACATGTTCTTGCCAGACTAATCCTCTTGAAATGATGCTGATAGAGACCAGGTAGTGTCGTGGTTTAACTCCA